CGAGTAAAAGATAAATGTCCTGATTATATCTTAGATCTGACTAGGATCAGGTTATGATCAATGATGCCTAATGAGGATAAATGTTTGGTAGAAAATGTCAGCTTGATTTGTGATTATGCGATATAGAATAAAGGTTCCTCCAGTTGGTTCATCATCAACTAACTGAGGTTTAGATAGAATAAAGAGTGCAGTGGGTCGTTGTTAAAGTCCTAACTATTAGATGCATGCCTTCAGCAGGAGATTGGGCAATAACCGGTGGGAAATTATCATATGGTCAATATCTGATAAACTGCACTNCTGCACTGGGGTGCGGCGTATAAATTGGTGATGATAATAAATAGAAAGCCGGAACATTTTGGTTGACAGACGGTAGTCAAGCAATCAATGCCATTTTGTGAATACTTGAAACGTACTTTGGACGTTTCACACCACTTCGGGTTGAGGTAGGTAATCACACCACCTCCAGACTACTTCAACACCGTTATCTGTCCTGTTTAAAGCATAGGGAGTTATCGAGTTAGACCCCGGAATCATTCTCTTCACCATTGAACCATGACTCCTGGAGACAAATGATACAAGAGGTGCAAAGTCCATTTCGCTGGAGCAGATAGGGTAGATCCGGAAGCTTCTCAAACAAAGAACGGACACTGTTACTCAGAACTGTGGGGACAGTCATCTTGTCGAGCACAGTGCTAACAAAAGTGGCTCCGCCATTGGCTTTTTCCTCACTTCGAGTATTTTTGCAGTTGAATATGGACTGGTACTCAAACCACGCATCATGATGTTTCATCAGAACTTCTTTAATTTTTAACATGAATGTTTTGGTGTATATGGGTAAAGCACGCATATGGAGCAATGTGGCCGATGAATTCCAGAATGCCACAGTGGTGACAAACTGCAGTACAGCCGTTCAAGGGGCAAGCAAAGAAAATGCACCGTAAAGGATTGACGCCGACGTTTGAGTAGAAACGTTGGCAACACTAACTGTAAATGATGTCTTCTGGGGTGGATGTTGGGGAGCAAGATGGATCGTTTGGTCTCTGTAATATGTGATGCACCCAAATTAAGTCTCCTCGAAACTAGGGGTACTGAGGGAAATATAATCCAAATGATAGTAATTTTACTCCGCAGGTGAGGCAATGCAATCCCGTGACCATTTGGGTGGCATCTTAAGACCAATTTACAACCATCGAATCTGGGCTTTGATTGCGTACTCTGTGCACGGTCGAATGTACACTGATAGCAAACATGGGAACACCGCTGATTAAATTCGATCAAAGACGCGTCTAAACAAGCGGAGGTTCTTCGTAGCAGCGGACGAAACATTGGCTGAAGTTATTGAGTAGCTTCTTGAATAATGACACCTTGGTCCTTCTCGCTTGAGGCATGCGACAGCTGGTGATTTCCGAAAAAATACGAAAATCTACTCCTTTGGTATAGGGAGAGGACTTTGCATTTCGAAACATTGAACTCACTGTCGTTCTCCACAGACCACTGATAAGCTGCGTTAAGTGTTTCTTGAAGTTATAGCAAGCCATCGGGTTCTGCTACTGTATCCAAGGTTTTTGTGTCGTCTGCAAACAGCATCGTTTTTGGCCTCTATCGGTACATCATTTATGAATGCTAAGAACAGTCGCAGGCCAAGTAAAGACCCTTGAGTAACGTTGATAGACCGGGTAGGAGAACAAAAACACTAACTGATATCGTCCGTTCCTCCGTCTGAGGAATGCTCTAATCCAGTCAAGCACGAATGCCGTAATTGTAGGGCTTCTGTAACAAAATTCTATTCTATTTACCCGATCGAATGATTTTGAGAAGTCCAGATAAATCACATCCACTGCATGCCATTAGTCTACTGTTCTTGTCCATTCATCTCGAACAAGAAGTAGATTGGTGGAGCACGATAGCTTTTGCCTGAACCCGTGTTCAGCAGTCGAAAGAATGTTTTATCGGTCGAGGTGTTCCATTAGAGAATCTGCCAAAATTGACTCCATGACTTTCGATAACTCTGGAAGTAGCGTTACAGATCGGTATGTAAGCGGGGTCACTACAACAACTACCTTTGTGTATGAGTGAAATAACGCTTTGTTTCTACAATCGTGGGGGTATTGTTTGGTCGAACATCCGTGGGAATAGAATGACCAGTGTTTCAGATATGTGATTTGCTAAAAAGATCAGAGGTTCCGGGTGTATGTTGTTTGCACCTGGAGTTGCATTTTTCCCCACATGCATTAGTTGTGGTGTCTTTTCAGTACTATACAAGTTTCACGTTGATCAAAGAATGAAATGCAAGATGATGCAACCGGCGAGGGGGCTGTAGACCTTCAGCATTTGGTGCAGCAAGGCACTTTGGTAAAACAAACAAAGAGACCTAGTGAAAAATTCGTCCCTAGATGTTTGTGATTATGGTGTAGGATGTCACGCATTAATCTGAGCGTACGATTCTCGCTATCCAGTGCATCAAGTAGAAAAATGATAATTTTGCGCTTCGCACTTCTGCCTGAGTAACAACAGCAAGCCAAACAGAGATTAAATAAGTTTGTACGCAAGGCCAAATAATTTGCAAAATACTGCAAATTGAAATCAGTGACTGTAGAGAAAAAGCATAACAAGATAAAATGAGTCTACGTAAGTTAGATTCGTACTTCGACCCCATAACAACGGCTGTCATCAAATGTTTTCGTTGGATTTTGAATCATTTGTGAGCATGTGTACTCACTTAAAATGGTTGAAAGTCTGACACAATGTTAGCAGGTAGAAAGAGTTTACAGCATTTTACAATAAACCAGCCTGAGATCCCTATAGGGACTGGCAAGCACTATATCACACGCAAAAATATCACTTTCAAAATTTGGGATAGTAGGCGTTCTTTTTATGGATGTTTTTGTGGTTGTTTGGGTGGCAGCCCACGTAGAACCGTGATCCTTAGTTGGCAGTAACACCTCCTTCACACCGGTAGTCACGAACCTGGGACGTAAGATAGTCGTTGATGCAAGTTAATGCGATTGGAGATCCAAACAATTCCCAATAATACTAAAATAATTGGTGATCTATATCTTCGTGGTGAGCCCCTGTCCAAGCCACTACTAACGATAATCACAAACCCTGGGTTTCTGTGGGTTAAATCCAAGCTATTAAACGGCACACCCGTCCGAATATCTATTCCTTAGCGAGGGAAGAAAGTCTCTCAGTATTCATTCAACACGACTTTAGATTTTAATGGTGCCAATCATTGAGTATCGATAAGTGAAAGCAAACAAAAGTACATTGCAAACGCGATGAAAATGTTTGTGATAACCAACAAAGAGCGCTGGACAGCGGGAAATAGAAATTTCAGCCGCTCTCTGCATAATCCATTTCAACCTATTAGTAGTAAAAACGGACAAGTCTGATAAAACGATTGCTGCTATACCCACCCAGAATTGGGGACCATTGGCCTCCTCGTTGCACATGTTTTCTCCCGGTGAATGGAATAATTTAGTGGTCTAGACAGAAACACATGGTACTACGGAAGCAACCGTAAAATGAAGGTACGCCCTAATCGATAACTTCTGTCTGACCTCCACGTTTCGCTTATGTTCAAAGCTGATCATAGATTCAAAATTGAAAATATAAAATTCCGTACAGATGTATGGAACGTCCGTGCTACAACTGCTCTATTTTATATGGATGCGGAAAAGAAAACCTAGCTGCCAACAAGTTATCTCACGTTTGTTCTGGGTTAGCATCGCGATCTACGTCGCATCTGAAGCAACAGTACATTTTCTGATATCATCCCACTAGTACAACTACGTCTTATTGTGCCGGATCCCAAAACTTTATGTTTTTACGCAATGGGTTTAACCCGTTATCTCCGGTCCCCGAGTATATGCTGAGGCAGAACCCAGCTTTTATCAAACAAAGTGTTACATTCTTTTGGAAAGATTAGAAATTGATTGTGAATGTTATAGTGTTAATAACACAGCATGTCGGTAGAGAATTATATTCGCCGACGGTTCGGTTACCGTGGGTAACCGTTCTCAAGGCAGGTTTTACAATCAGAACAGAAAGGTTACCCACGGTAACCGAAACGTCGGCGAATATAATTTCTCACCGACATCGCTGTGTTATTAACACTATCACATTCACAATAAAACAACACAAGGCGCATCGATTTTTCGATACACTCCTAACATTGTTAGAAATTGACTTCAAAGGACCGCTGCTCTCTGCAATAAAATGTTTGTTTGTTTTTACCTGTGCCGATGTTAAGACTGTCTCAGTAAATACTCAGTTATTTGAGTAATTGCCATACCTCTTTGCATCCATTCGAAAGAAGGTACATTGTTCATATTACACAAACTGCGACAGATGCAACCAGTAGAATGACTTCATGCTATCCGAAGGGCAACGGTTAGGTAAAAATCTCGAACGACATTATCTATAAGACAACAAAATACTAAAGTATCGCATTATCTCAATAGAAGAAAATAGTTCCGGAGTTCTTTTATTCGAGTCGTTCCTTATTGTGCACATCTACAAAGAAGCAGGCACACAATGCTTTTTACGTCACCATCGAACGTACACTACGGAAACCACTGCCAAACTACCCAACTGCAATAAACCGTCTAAGTTTACGTTCTAGTGCACATGAGAAACAAAATTTCTTCATGCCTGAACAGTATCAACTTGACACCGTGATCATCGGTGTCTAGTGTCAATTCTCAACACTCAAAACTTCGAGGTACCCGTTCAGGATAAAATACCATGAATCGCAATAGCGCCCTAACAGTCAATACTCTTTACAACTCTCAAATGATGCAGTCCCGAATAGCATCTCTCTACAATCTTTAGTTAAAGCTTCTCTCCGACTCCTTAATTCTCGAATTTTCTCCTGCTTCATTTTTCTGTCCATGAAGTACCAAATATTTTCGATCGAATACATATATATATACATATATATATATATATATATATATATATATATATATATATGTATATATATATGTATTCGAT